CATTTAAGCATTTGCTCTTTAACTGACTCATCTTCAGTAAACCATTTTAACAGGACTTTATATAAATTTGATATCATTTTCTTTCCTTTTGCCTCCCACACTCCCTCAATTTCATTTTTTTCCTCTCTAAAACCATATCTTTTTAAATCAATTCTGAATAAGTCAACCATTTGTGCATAATTTAACCAGTCATACTCAAAGTCTAGCTCCTCTCTCTTTCTCATCACAAAGTCTTTTCCTTCTTTTTTCAAAATGTCTTTATACGGCAACCAATCTTCGCCTTTATGTCTCGAATATGGTGTGATTACTTCTGCAGGTACAATCCAAAGTGGTCTTGCTTCATAGAAAAAAATTTATATCTCAACCAAGTCCCGTACAGTGATCTTCTTATAAAGTGATGCCTGAAAAATTTATCCGCTTTTGTCTTTCGTACCATAGATAGGCATGCCAGCCAAATCTACAATCATGTCCTTCCAATGCTAAAAGCTTTTTATTGTCCAAATTTATCCACTGCTCTATCCAAGTAAAGCAGATCGCTTCATAGTACAGTCTGAAGTTCGGCAATTGAAATCCTCCTTTCTTTAGCATCACAAAGAATTTTCATTTTAATTCTTGGTTTTCTTCCTGCCCAAACTAACTTTGAGATGTCTTTTTGCCATTGATTTAGCACTTTAATTTCCTTCAATATCGGATTTGTTTTCAATTCCCTTCCTAATCCCAGCGTTTGGACGTTTTTATTGCAGCCGCACACTGTCTCGACATTTTCAGCGAGTTATCTACTACGACTCCAAGATCTCTCTCTTGGGTCAGTCTCTGCCAGTTCGGACCCCATCGATGTGTATTTATATTTAGGATTTTTGGCTCCAATGTGCATCCCTTTGCCCTTGGCCACATTGAACCCCATTTGCCACTTTGACACCCAGTCACCCATCCTCGACAGATCCCTTTGGAGTGCCTCACAATCCTCCTCTGGTTCTCACCACCCTGAACAACTTCGTGTCATCTGCAAATTTAGCCACCTCACTGCTTACTCCCAACTCCAAATCATTAATAAACAAGTTAAAAAGCATTGGACCGAGTACTGATCCCTGTGGTACCCCACTGCTTAGTACTGCTTAGAAAGTTAGTACTAAGTTTCTATTAGGAGAAATGGCTGGCAGGAAACATGATCACAAAAAGGCTCTTTTTCAAAAGGACAAAAGTTATAGATAGTGGGTTGGATCCGGCCTAACATTTCCAATGATGGAAGGGGAAGCAATTTTCATACCAACTCCCCACTTATGCTGCTCCCGGGGCTGCTCCATCCACTAACAGCAGCGTATCAGGGGGTATTTGGGACATGAATGGGAAGGTGACAAAGCTGCTTGGCTGTGGTAATTTTCAGTGGGATCCAAGCCAGTAAATTCGACTATCTGAGCAGATATGCAAACACACAGAGGCAACATAGTAGGGAACACTTTTACAATATTCACTTGGAGAAAATTAGAGGTTTTGCAGACTGAAATCTCCAAAATCCACTTGTCTGTTTTAGTTCACAAACCCACTTTTAAAGTGCACAATAATACACTAATTTTATTATCATACATTTTTAAAGTATTTGAGAAAATCATTGAGGACAAAAGTACACATTGCATGGAATTGCATGCTCCTTTCTTTTGAATGTTTAACTCTGAAAAGTGATTTAATTTAACTTCTTCCTCTCCTGCCACTTGCCTGCCCCAAATTCATTCCCACCCAAGGAGGAATTTTCCCCTGTTGCTTATGTTATTGCTGGCTGATCAATGATCATAAAAAAATTAAATAAGATATTCTCCCCCACCACAGGAAAAGAAGCTTGGTAGTGGAAAGTAACAACTAGAAAAAAAACTTACAAGGCAGGTTTCATTACAACATGGGCCATCACTGCAATGTGCTCCATTAGACAGTGAGCATTTCTTACAGCAGTTTTCATGGCAATCCTGAAGAAAACACATTATTTGTGAATATCCGAAAATCAAAATAAATTAAGAGGCACAATCACATAAAGAGATTAACAGGCGGTATTCATATATTGTTTATCCACCAAATCGCAGAACACACAAGTGCACAAAGCCTTATACGTTGAATGTTTTAGAACTAAGAAGCAATAAACCAAAGTGCTTAAAATAGTCACATATCTAAGAATATATAAGTAGGGGACTCTATGACACTGACAAATCTCTCTTCTTATATCAGCACTCTCTACTCTTCTAACACTCTTATATTAGTACTCTCTTCTCTTGGGTGTCAAATTTCTTATTTTGTGGTTAAAACAACGGTTAACAATATTATTCTTAGAGCTCTCCTTCTAAGAGACAGTTTAGTATATGAATAGGAAGGATTAAATAATTGGTTTTATGTGTGTAAAAATACTCTGATCTTACCATTTGGAATCCACAGTCACAGTCTTCTCCCGGTTCTACATACCCATTTCCACACTCAGTGGTATCAAACAACTGGAGGAGGCAAATACACAATGGACTATTATCAGTAGCAGCTGAATGATGGTACACCCCCCCACCGACTTCTGCAACTGTGCAAGAATCACACAACAAAGCAAATGTCATCTCAATACAAGATCATCTTCTGTACTATGGTAATGGACAAGGTGGCAGAATTAAAGGCAAATAAAAAGACTGTTTCTCTACCTTTACAGCCCTCCCACAGAACTGTCTCAAAATGGCAAAGAACCTACTTAATACATCTTAATATACCTGAACCTGAAAACTACTGGGGGGGGAGGGTTTGCACACCCCTAAAGGGGACCCAATATGTCTTACGTTGTTCTCTCCACCATTTGATCATCACAACGACCCCGTGAGGTAGATTAGGCTGAGACAGAGTGACTGGCCCAATGTCACCCAGCAAACTTCCACAGCGGACTGGGGATTTCAAGCCGGGTCTCCCAGGTTGTAGTCTGATCCTATAACCACTATACCACACTACCTGCACTTAGCTTATTAAATAAGATTTGCGCAAAAAAGCCCAAACCTGAAAATAATTTTCTGTGAAACTTGCATAGCTCTACACTTTTTCCCTTGGTAGATTGCCAATGACTGTGGCAGAAGCAGAAAGAAGTTTAAGCAGTCTAGCATTCTTCAGAAACTGCAGTTGTTCCATGATGAAGTAAGAGTGTTTAAGCAATCTAGAAATTTGCCTACTGAGTGAAAACTTGCAAGAATAAATTCACTTTGGGATCATTATGTTTAAAATGAATTGGTCCAACACTAAATATCTGCAGCAGCACTGGTTCATTACAATAAAAAATTAAAACTTTATCAATACCTTAGGACCAACCTAAAATAAAGGGGTGGGGGGGCATGGCGCAATAGAATAGCCCAAAGTGTAGGCCATGGTATAAGAACATAAGAGACGCCAATGTTGGATCAGGCCAAAGGCCCATCCAGTCCAACACTCTGTGTCACACAGGGGCCAGAAATACCAGTGCCATCAGGAGGTCCACCAGTGGGGCCAGGCCATTAGAAGCCCTCCCACTGCTGACCCCCCCTAGCACCAAGAAGACAGAGCATCACTTGCCCCAGAGCCCCTAATCTAACCCTTGTGCTAAATAGCTATTGATGGACCCTGCTCCATATGCTTATCTAATT